CCGGGTTAGGGAGGGGGGGGGTCCCAGGGTGATCCCAAACCCCGAGGGGGGTCCCCAAAATCCCCCCAAATCCCCCCACCTGTCCCTCACCGAGAGGTCGTCGATCATCCTGTCCTCGAAGGGCGGCTGCTCCCGGGCCAGCCACGAGAGCCGGTACGACTCCAGGAACATGTTACAGGCACGGTGCCTGGGGACGGGGGGTCACCTGGGGTCACCTGGGCACACCTGAGCTCACCTGGGCACCCAGGGGTCACCCTGCCATCCCCCAGGGGTCACCCAGGAACATGTTACAGGCACGGTGCCTGGGGACAGGGGGTCACCTGAGCTCACCTGAGCACACCTGGGCACACCTGGGCACCCAGGGGTAACCCTGCCATCCCCCAAGGGTCACCCAGGAACATGTTACAGGCACGGTGCCTGGGGACAGGGGGTCACCTGGGCACACCTGAGCACACCTGGGCACACCTGGGCACCCAGGGGTAACCCTGCCATCCCCCAGGAGTCACCCAGGAACATGTTACAGGCACGGTGCCTGGGGACGGGGGGGTCACCTGGGGTCACCTGGGCACACCTGGGCTCACCTGGGCACACCTGAGCACCCAGGGGTCACCCTGCCATCCCCCAGGAGTCACCCAGGAACATGTTACAGGCACGGTGCCTGGGGACAGGGGGGTCACCTGGGCACACCTGAGCTCACCTGGGCACACCTGGGCACCCAGGGGTCACCCTGCCATCCCCCAGGGGTCACCCAGGAACGTGTTACAGGCACGGTGCCTGGGGACAGGGGGGTCACCTGGGCTCACTCAGGGCTCACCCGAGCTCACCTGGGGTCACCTGAGCTCACCTGGGCAGGTTGTACAGGGGGGTCATGCGGAAGCAGGCGACGACGGCGCGGCGGCGCTGCTTGGACAGGAGCTTGTGCCACACGGCCTTCTTGGACTTGTAGGGGTGCTCCGTCTGCAGGGGGGCACCTGGGGGTCACCTGGGCACACCTGAACCTCACCTGGGCACCCCAGAGCACCCAAAGGGCACAAAGCACCCTGAAGTGCCACACGACCTGCTTGGACTTGTCTGCAGGGGGGCACCTGGGCACCCCCTGGGCACCCCCTGGGCACCCCTCACCTGCTCCAGGTGGTAGAGCACGGCCGACACCTCCTGCACCCTGCGCACCACCTGCTCGGGGCTGTCGGGGTCCTCGTCCCGCCCGGCCTGGCGCACCAGGGCCATCTGCCAGCGGGCAGAGCCCGTGTTCTCCACCTGGGGACACTGACAGGTGACACGGGGAACACGGTGACACAGGTGACACAGGTGACAATGGGGACACAGGTGCCAGCTCACCTTGTCCTGCAGGTGCAGGTTGTTGTGCAGGAACTCCCGAACCTCCTCGTCCGTGTCCTTCTGCAGTGGGGGGACACGGGAGACACCTCAGGAGATGTCCCCAAACCCCGGGGTCGTGTCCTGGGGATGTCCCCAAACCCGGGGGTCGTGTCCCGGGGGTGTCCCCAAACCCCGGGGTCGTGTCCTGGAGGATCCCAGGGCTGTCCCCGGGGTGTCCCCAGTCCCTGGGGGTCCCCAGGAGTGTCCTGGGGTGTCCCCAAGCCCTGGGTTCATGTCCTGGGGGTGTCCCCAAACCCCGGGGCTGTGTCCTGGAGGATCCCAGGGCTGTCCCCAGGGGTGTCCCCAGGGGTGTCCCCGGGCTGTCCCGGCCACCCACCAGGGCGTAGCGGCCCTTGGCCAGCGCGATGAGCTCCTGGTCGGCGGGCGAGCACATGTTGAGGCCGATGGGCAGCATCTTCTTGAGGGTGGCCACGATGAGCGAGGTGTGCACGGAGTAACGATCGCCCCGGCGGCGCTTCTTGGAGCGCTCCTGCTCCGAGCCAGCGCCCTGGGGACACGGGGACACGGGGACAGGGTCACAGAGATGGGGACAGGGACAGCAGGGACCCCATAACCACAGTGCCAGCTCCTGCTCCGAGCCAGCGCCCTGGGGAGGGGGACACAGGGTCACAGGGATGGGGACAATAGGGACAGCAGGGACCCTATAACCACAGTGCCAGCTCCTGCTCCGAGCCAGCGCCCTGCAGGGGACAGGGACACGGGGACACGGGGTCAGAGACACGGGGACAGGGACACGGGGACAGCAGGGACCCCATAACCACAATGCCAGCTCCTGCTCCGAGCCAGCGCCCTGGGGACACGGGGACACGGGGTCAGAGACACGGGGACAGGGACAGAGGGACAGCAGGGACCCCATAACCACAGTGCCAGCTCCTGCTCCGAGCCAGCGCCCTGCAGGGGACACGGGGACACGGGGTCAGAGACACAGGGACAGGGACACGGGGTCAGCTCCTGCTCCGAGCCAGCGCCCTGGGGACACAGGGACACGGGGACAGGGTCACAGGGATGGGGACAGGGACAGCAGGGACCCCATAACCACAGTGTCAGCTCCTGCTCCGAGCCAGCGCCCTACAGGGGACAGGGACACGGGGACAGGGACACAAGGACAGGGTCACAGGGATGGGGACAACAGGGACAGGGTCAGGGGGTCACAGGGGGATCAGGACAGAGTCACAGGGATGGGGACAGGGACATGGGGACAGCAGGGACATGAGGTCAGCACTGACCCCATAACCAAGGACAGGGACTCGGGGACAGAAGGGACAGGGACAGGGACATGGGGACAACAGGGACATGGGGCCAGCAGGGACCCCACAACCACGGTGCTCATCCCATGCCCACCCCATAGGGACAATAAGGACAGGTCCTGGGGGGTCCCAACCAAAGCCACCCCACTGAGGGGTCCTGGGGGGTCCCAAATGTGGTGACCCCACAGAACAGGACCCCGCAGGAATTTTTTGGGGGGGGTCCTAAACACTGGGGGACCCCAATCCCCTCCCAGCCCCCTCCCCTCTAACCTGAGCATCTCCAGACTGGGAGCAGCACCCGCAGCCGAGGGGAGAGAAGAGACAGAGTTAGGGACAGGGGGACACCGTTAGGGACGTGGGGACATCCTTGGGGACAGGGGGACACCGTTAGGGACGTGGGGACATCCTTGGGGACAGGGGGACATCGTTGGGGACAGGGGGACACCGTTAGGGACGTGGGGACATCGTTGGGGACAGTGCTGGGGACGTGGAAGGACACACCAGGAGGGTTGGGTGAGATGGGAACACCTGGGGCTGGGGTTCTGGGGCACA